CTCTTCTCGGTCGGCAGCTCTTTGATCTTTATATTTATTCTCATTTTTGCGATGTAATTTTTGATTCATCATCGTGATTCTCTTCCAAAACATCAGTTGTTGAGGCAATTCTATTTGATCACTACCTCATTGTGCTACTTGACTACTTTATCAATATTATGGGGCATAGTCTATGCAATAGACAGATAGAATAGTAGTAAAAAATAATTAACAACCAAGAGATAACATTAACAACAAATTTATATAATTCACAATTACTACAATGCTTACCCATGCTTGAAGAATGTTATCATCTTCTGATCCTCTTTTGTTTTTTATTTTGGGGATAGGCTGTCTTAGGCTACATACCCTACCAGTGTCTCTAGCAGCCGGTTCCTTATTCCTCTCTCTCTCTCTCTCTCTCTCTCTCTCTCTCTCTCTCTCTCTCTTTATTCCTCTCTCTCTCTCTCTCTCTCTCTCTCTCTCTCTCTCTCTCTCTCTCTTTCTCTTTCTTCTTCTCTTGCTCTTTCTCCTGCTCCTTCCCCCGTAAACCTCTACCTGGTTCTTTAAAAACCTTCTCAAGTCTTTGAACTTGGCCCTGGAATTGTGGAATCTCTATAGTAGCTTGCTGAGCTTTAACGACAACTATGGAAAATCTTAGAGATCCCCCAACTTCTCCTAGTCTCACCCAATTTGTGATGGGAGGCCTTGTCATACTTCCCAATACTGGCTTCTTGGTGCCAATAAGTTCATAGTACCACAATTACACATGAGAGAAATAGAAGATTAACATTCCGTCTATAACTTTAACAATAAATACATAACCATAACAACAAATCCGTAAGCTTAACAACCAAACCGTAACCTTAACAACAAATCCGTAACTATGATAACCAATCTGTAAGCCTAACAACCCTACTATCTTTAACCTTAACAACCTGCAATATTAACAACCAATCAGCAACCATAAGAACCAATTTGTAACATTAACAACAAACCCGTAACCTTAACATCATTATGTAATCTTAACAATAAATCTGTAACCTTAACAACTAATCTGTAAGCTTAATAACCAACCTATCTGCAACCTTAACAACTATTATGTAATCTTAACGACCAATCTACAACCTTAACAACCAATTTGTATACATAACAAATAATTTCTAACCCTAACAACTAGTAACTATACTTAAAAACAAATCCCTAACTTTCACAATCAATTTTGTGAAAATTCTAATTATTGCTCTAAACAATAAAAAGTAGATGTAAGCTGTTTAAAAATTACTGCAGATAGCTGATCCTCATCAAACACCGATGATGGAAGTTACAATTTGACGGCTTCCAAAAGACTACAATTTAAAGACTTTCACGTAGATCGATGAAGGTTATAATCTGACGATCTTCACAATAACCGATGAAAACTCTAATTAATAGTCTTCACAATCAACAGTGAGAGTTACAACCTGACGACTCTCACATATCAAAGAGCTAAAGCAAAGATTACAAAACAACGATCTTTGCAACGCTCTGACAAAAAGAGACTACAAATTGACGGTCTTCTCAAATCAAGATGCGGAAGTCCTCCCCGCATTTCAGCATCAAGATGCGGAGGTCCTCCCCGCGTACCAGCATTAAGACGCACCGTGTTCATAGCCGCTGACGCAGTGCAAACGTAGCTCCCACACATCGCGTTCACAGCCACCGACGTAGAATAAACACAACGCCTATTCAACCGCGGACGCAGCTCCTTATCAACCATCACTGACATAGCTCAAGCCCACTGATGCAACTCAAACCTGGCTGCAAAACACAACCTCCGAAAGCAGCCAACCCAGCTTCCATTCGCTGCCAAACGCAGCTTCCAAGCTACCAACATAGCTTCCAAATTGCTGTCAAACGTAGCTTCCAAGCTTCCAACGTAGCTTCTAACAAGCTACCAACACAGCCTCCAAATACTGCAAATGTAGCTTCCAGACATTACGTTTGAATGCAGAATTCATTCCAGAACGCAGGACCTGCGTTTGACTCGTTTAAACACTAGTTGAACGGTTCCAAAAACCATTTTTTCCCCACGATTTGAGGGATTTTTGCCCCACTTAGGAGCAGATTAAGGGGGCGGTTATACCCCATTCAGCCCCACTTAAGAGTGAATTAAGGGGGCGGTTACACCCCTTAGTCCCCTATAAATAACTAAAAAATCAGTTTAGTTAGGGATCTTTGGATCTTAAAGTATTTTTGGATCTAGAGATCAGCAAAGGGATCTCCAATTCATCCTCTTTCAGCAGCTAAAAAAAGAGGAGATCAATCTCAGGAGATCAAAATCACCAAGAAGATCGGTATTCATCCTTGGGAGTTGTTCTTGGAGCTTTCATTCTTGGCTTATAACCGATTTTCGGTTCAAATCAACTTTGTTACAGAGTTTGAACTCATTCCGAGTTCTTAAAACTCGTTAAGAGTTCATTCAATCGTTCCCGTAAAGGGAGACATACAGATCGTTAACAAGCAAACTCGACACGAGCATTCGAGGGAAGCATTCCATCGCTACCGTGAAGGACCCAGAATTAAATAAAGGGGATGATCCCCGTCGATCTTCTTCTCTTTTGTAATCGGAAATTCAAATTGTAATCAATTGAGATTGAGAGTGTTGTAAATATTCTTTTTCTAAGAAGTTAGATGGAATAAATCAAATTCAATTCTTTCATTTTCTTATTACAAATTTCCTACAAACAATAGGAATACATATAGACATAAGCTGGGTACATCTATGCAGATATATAATCACCTTTCCTGCTCTAGGACCCCACAGTACCTTTTCAATTGCATCATTCGTCTCACTGAAAATATAGCTCCCTCAAGCAGTGTTCTTTGCTTGTTCGATGCTGTCAACATACTTGAACAAATACCTTAGAATGCCATGAATACTGCTTGGACACCAGATCATGCTTAGCTGATAGAGGATCTGTAGTAGGACAAAGTCATTTACGTCTTCACGGTCAGTTGATTGTACAAGCTTTGTTAGTAGATCCTCAACATGGCATTTGGTGGGTGTTGAAGGAGCCCTACTACTGTCACCCTCAGTTTTGGAAGAAAAAAACTCAACCAAATTCGATTTTTTCATTCTCGGTTAGGGCCGACAAAATCCCCCTCATTGGAGAACCACGTATGGCTCATAACCCATTCAAGGTTGAATGAGCACTCAATGTCTTTCCAGTTTTGGTATCATTAAAGATAAATTCCATCTTATTCTCATCCCACTGTCTCAGCACATGCTCGAAAGTGGGAAGATCAAGATCTGGAGGGCCAAAATAAACATAAGTCTGAATACACTATCTTCGTAGGCATCCCAGTGCCTTTGGCCCATATGTTGCACTAAAGAACGTATGAATTCATAGTAAGTAGTAAAGCTGGAAGCATGTCGCAACTCTAATACAACCTTTTGTCTACAAAGCAAAACAACAAGACATAATTAGTTTAAAAATAATCTGTAATCATAGCAATTATGCTATAAACTTGACAAAGAAACTATAACCTTAACAACAAAGAAATATTTGCCCCACGTGGATCAGAAGTCAAAGAAATATATGCCCCACGCGGATCAGAAGTGTTGATTTCTAAGGCGTGAAGCATTTTCTTTAAAGAAATATTTGCCTCACGCGGATTAGGAGTCTATGCTTTGACCAATTTATCAAAACCCAATAATCATTAAATAGTTTTAAACCTCTAAAAGAATGCTCAAATATCCAATGTGGGGCTGTCTTGGCTTTACAAACAAATACCAACAGTTTACACGTAAGTATCTGCTGTACTTCATTATATTTTTGCTTTGAAAAAGCTTACATTGTTCATGCATATTTTTCTTCATGAAGAGGGATGAAACAGGATTTCCATCTTCTAACAAAGAAGAGTATAATGACGGTATACTAAAGATTCTAGAGATGCAAGGACGGAGAGGCTTTGAGTTGCTGCTTGCCTCAAAGGAAAGCGTGCGCAGAGCTTTCCAGATAGAAAATTTTAAGGGGAATTTAGAGCTCCAATTTCACCTGATAATTGCTATCCGAGAATATTCAAGATCATGAAGTAAAGAAAACTCTAATGAGGACTAGCTGCTATCATACAAGACTCATAGTCAATAGGTGTATATATATTTCCCTCGGCAGCAAAATGGCATGTCATAGCGCGTGACAGTTAACACATCGCATCTTATAATTGGAAGGGTATCGTGTCTGCTTAATTCATGACAATTTTCCATCAAGGCGAAGATTGCGCTAATTTAAGGGTGGTGACGCAAGTCAAAGGTTTAGTTAGTCAAGCGCTCTTGTGAGAGAGTGACCCATGCATGGTAACGCTAATTATTTATTATTTATTATTATTGACGGGAGAACCGCAGTATGTACGCCTAAGGTGTTCCGACTGGTCTGAGACGGTCATACCTTTTGATGCCTCCTCGGAGCATCAAGGCTCGAACTCGGGTCACATGTTAAAAAAAAAATTATATGTGGGATCAAAGTGTAGTCTTCTGCAGAAATGTACTGCAGTATGGTCTTTTGTTTTGGCTCAATGTTGTTGTTTCATCCATCAACAGATAAATATCTGATGAATATAACTTTTTATATGTGGGACAATGGAGTACGGTCCTGATCAATGTTCGCAAACTGAACTTGAAGCGTTTTCCAAACAGCTAACAGCGTCGCATCAAATTTGAGTAGGAAAACCAAGAAAGAATCAAAGCTAACCTTTATTTGCTTGAAGCTGCTAGTGCAAGCTCATACATGATCAGGTTGAATTAATCATAAGACGGTAACGTACTTCAAATATATTCTGAATCAACAAAAAGCATTCTGCTTCTGCTTTTGGTAACATATATAGAACACTAAAGGATTTCTACAAATTCAACTCACAGTAAGCGTTATTCTAATTTCTCCTTATAAGGAAACCCCAGCTGCCAAGAGGTAAAGACCTCCAAAAACTAAGCCAAGTACCCTAGATGCTTATGGGAGCATTGCAGAGAGACAACTCACTGATTATGTAACATAACAAATAGGATCAAGGCAGCTCCAAATCGACAGCTCGCCATCAGTGATTGAGCCTGAACCTGAATCCGAAGAAGATGACAATTCAGAAGAAAGTGTTGGGTTTTGCTGGCTTTGGACAGTATCTCTTTCCTCTTTCACGTTTCCCTCTTGCTGATTCCTGCATGCATTGCTGAGATAACTGAGATTATCAGCAAAACTCCCTCTGCCTCCTCTTGAGGTCTCATTAACCTTCATCTTCAAGCATTCTGATATGCCATTGAGTGCGTAAAGCGACGCAGATATCTTCCTCTCATACTTCATCCTCTTCATCGCTGCTCTGATCATCGATGGCTCATCCCCAGTACAGTCCTCTTCCTCCTCTATCCCCTCTTCGATTGCTCCTGGAATCTCGAAAGGTGAATAAAAACAGAACGAAGAATCATCCATGCCATCAAACTGGAAGTCGATCTCACTCAAGTCAATACCTCCCTCTTCTCCTCCTCCTGAACATTCACCAACCTGTCCAACTTCACCCGAGTGATCTCTGTATTCATTACATACATTCTGAACGCTCTCATATATGACATCTTGACCATCACTTGTATCAAAATTTGTATCATTCAAGAAGTCAGTAAAGTGGATATCACCACTCTCCTCTCCCTCTTCTTCTTCACCTATATAAGGCTGCTGTTGATGCTGATGTTGCTTCTGTTGGCATAGCAAGTCTTGTGTTGGTGCTGATTGGTGTAGTTCATATTCTTGTAGTCCATGTTCTTGCTCATTTTCAGGCGAGGCAAGGCCATTCCTTGCCTTGAGCCTTAAGAGCAAAAGATTAGTGATCTTTGAAGGGAGAACAGAAGTTGCAGAGTGCTGCGATGGAGAGCAAGGCCAGAAGTTTGTTCGAGTGTTGGCGCCACGAAGAAGACAAGCAGCCTCATCGTAGGCTCGAGCAGCGTCTTCAGCGGTATCGAATGTGCCAAGCCACACTCTTATCTTCTGAATTGTGTCCTTGATCTCTGCTACCCAGCGACCGGAAGGCCTCTGACGAACTCCCACGAATCGCTTTCTGGCACGTCGAATGCCACCAAATGCAGCCACTCCCTCATTCCCTACATGCCCAACTGAGCTTGCACCTGAGCTCATACCAGAAACTTCTGGCTCGGTGTTCTTCCTCTTTCTCGCCATCTCCTGTTGTGATTGTGTTTTCTGGGGTAAAGAGTACGGACTAGTTAGCAGCATATATAAAGAGGGAAAGGGAGATGGAGACAGGTTAGGGAGAGAGAGAATAAAATATAAGAGATGGGGTCTTTTGTAGGTTGATTCATCCCCTTGTTTTTCTTAGATTTCGGCATCTGAATACAACATATGGAGGTTTGTCGTAACTCATAAGAGAGGAGAGGGGATATTATAATGTTGCATACTGGTCTATTCAGTTTGTTCCTATTTGTAAAATATTATATAGGTTCAAATTGTAATTTGAAAGGGATAGGTTTGAACCAGTCTTTTCTCCATTTGTTTATGTAACTTTTTAATGCTCTCATTAAGCTTCCGTTGTTTACTATGTCAACATACGTGTGATGCTTGCTTTAATATTTAACATGGAAAGAAACATGATCTTGATGTCAGCATGGACTAGATCCACATATCGACATGAACGAGAGAGGAGGGGAACAAACAAGGGGAAAGAGAGATGGAGATATTCACGAAGCAATTTTTTTTTTAATGCCATATCATAAGTCAAAATACATGGCAAAAGTATGTAACTTTGAGGAACCATTAAATCTTCAGGTTTCTAATTGAGGTCTCCAAGTATTTTGTTCTACTTGTACCATAGTCAGTTGTTAGCAAGAAACCTAGAACCATGTCACTGTTAACCAATGACCACTTGACCCATTTAAGATTGGACATGAACCCATGGTCGCGAGTCCAGCTGAACCCAAACCGACCAGGTCCAGACAGAGGCCGGGCAGGTTGGACTGTGCCCAGTCGGGGAAAGGGAAGCCACTGAATCAATCATTGAACTGAACTGAACCTAGTTGATGGATGAGATTTGCTTCCTAACATCACTTGGAGAATTAGCGAACAGGTTATGTACAAACCCCGTTGAGATTCTTCAGAACTATACAGACACACGACAAAGGTTTCTGACTTCTGTCATCAGTTATCTCCTACTTCACAGCTTCATGGTTTCTATTTTGTGGAATGATTAGCAAGGAGAATGCTCACGTCGCTTCTTCCCTTGCCAAGTCTAAAGAAATGTTCATGATCGAATATCCAATAATTTGCTAGACGTAAGATTTCAAGATCCCAGAAAATTAAGCACCAAGTAAGGACAAACAAATTTTTAAAAGGACCCTTTTTTTCAATTTTATATAGCAAAAACGACCTCATGAGAAAATAATCTGCAAAACCGACCATTTTCTTCGGAAAATGGTCGATTTTGCATTCGCGAAGTTTTTCGAGCTACACGGGACTGCTAGTCCCGTGAAGTTCGGCCACGAGACTAGCAGCCCCGTGCATTTCATTCTTCTCTCGGGATCAATTGTAGAAGAAGAAGCATGGGACTGCTAGTCCCGTGCATTTCAATTGTTGGTCAAACTACACACGACTAGCAGTCCAGTGTAGCTCGAAAAACTTCGCGACTGCAAAACCGACCATTTTCCGAAGAAAATGGTCGATTTTGCAGATTATTTTCTGATAAGGTCGTTTTTGCTATATAAATTTGAAAAAAAAAATTCCTTTTAAAAATTTGTCCCATCAAGTAATTATGTTTCACGCCCAAACTACTCTATGATCCATATGGAAGTCCACAACCATAACAGTGTATTATCAACTAGATGTGCATGTGTGCGTTTCGTGCTGGCATTCAGGATGCATTTGTCATGTGGAAGGCACCATTACCGGACATGAGGAGCCATTGTTAGATGAAGATCTGATACAATGCCAACTGATTTAGGTGTTTGACAGAGTTATTTCACTGCATACATATTTGAACAATATTGTGTGTTTGGCAACCATAGTTAAGCGTAGGCAAGTAGGTCCTATTCGAGTTAGACAACATATAAGTATATCATCCTCGTATGGTTGTATTGTTAGTGAGTTTCAATGGTGTGACAGAAAATAAAATACATTATTATTTAACTCACTGAAACTATTTTTGGTTCAATCATAAAGCATGATGTTGGCAAAATAAAGTTGGTTTTAGCTGATACAATAGTAATGCGGGAGGAAGCTCACTAGCGCATCCACAGTAGAGAATTGAGTCTACAGCTTCGCTTTCGCTTTGACAAACTGTGGATCTTACCACAAAGCAATAAAATTTAATCAGAACTGGTTATCTTGCATTATGTCCACTCTGAACTCTATTCGAAGACTGTGAACTAGACCTAGTACAACAAGGAGTAAAAATATAGTCTTGATCAAAAGTGACTTTAAGAGCTTTTTAAGGCATCCACTGTATGAGATCCGCTCCCTATTATGACTGGATAATGTTTATAGGTTATAAATAGTATCCTTGAGATTCACCAACAATAAAGAAGAGAAGAAATTTTCAAAATAGACCCAATCTAAACTTTTTTTTCAAAAATTGACTCACTCCACTTTTTATTATAGAAACCAACCCAGTTTCTGGCCATGTCAACATCGTGGCCAGAAACTGGGTCGCTTTAAAAAAAAATCAACTTCCTAATTATTCGAGGTTGGCAACCCCGACTAATTACGACCACCCATCGCCACTTGCGTGATTAGGACATCTAAACAAGTCGGGGTCGCGAAACCCAACTAATTCGGTCGGGGTTCCCAAACCTGACGAGTTGGGAGTGACTTGGGATACCCCGCACAAAATGGTCGGGGTTCCCAACCCGCCCATTTGGCGGAGCATTCGCATGCCCAAGTCGAAATAGTCGGGGTTCCCAACCCCGACCATTTAGCAGACACTTTGCACGGCGTGCACGATGCACAAGTTGAACTTTGGCCCATGCACATATCTTGTACTGTGGAAGAACGAATCTACTCATCATCTTCAAACTCGTCGGGAGGTGGCCCTTCGTAGTCAACATATTCATTATTAACATAAGCCTTATCAGGTCATTCTAGATTTTCTTCAATATCTTCAATCATAAATTGCATGCTATCATTTAGTGCACTATCTTGTTCTTCACGTTCAGAGTCGTTGCTTCTTTCATTCTCTTCAATCGCTGTCCCTCTTAACGGCCTCATATTGTCATAAGAGGTTTCATTGTTCATAACATTTAACGTTCCCCCAAATGAATGTGCACTTAGATATTGAAATTGAGTCCGCTCTATTTCATTTGAAGAAGAAAGAAAACCGTCAGACTCAATTCCCAAATCTAACATGCGTGAGAATTCTCCTGAAGGTTTGAATATTTGGCACGAACTGCACATAAACTTTTTAATAAATAATTCTATCGTTGGTTGCGATTTGCTCAAATTAAACATAATACTCATATAATGATTGTTTGAGATCTCAATTACGGACGTTCTACCAAAAGTTATGGGCCAAATGCATATTATTTTTAGTCGGTACCCTCATGGGTCAATTTTCATAACTCGGTGTAATTCCTTAATCAAATTGCAGTAACTATATGATTCCGAGATCATTAACGGCGTTGTTACCCCTCCGATATACATTGGCATATTATTCATTCCATAATTAATTTTCCCACCATAAGAGCACGCAATAAAAATCATATTGTTCAACCTATGAAAAAGAAGATTATATCATTTAAATGTAAAAAATTAAAAAAATTTATCAGGCCATTGAATAAGAGAGGAAAACCCTAGATGCAAATAATCTCATATAATTTTGATTAAAAACCCTAAACCCCAAAGAGAAAATCCTAACCCCTAGAAATGAACATTCTATGCCCTAGAATTTTAATTTCAATTACAGCAATCAACATAGAAAGCATTCGAACCATCACAAATATAGTGATTGATATTAAATTCCAAACCCTAGAATTGAATTTTGATGAAAACCCTACATTTGAACGTTGAAGAAAAGAGAAAAACCTTAGATTTTTACATGTTAAAAGAGGAGAGAATGAAGAGAAATTACCCTAGAGATCTTAAGCAAACTTTCACAATGAATTTCGACCACCAAATGGGGTTGGGAGAACCGGGTAGGCGGATGAATGGGAGACCGGAGTTGGAGAGAGAGAAAATTATCAATTTGAGCGAAAAACCAGTTCGATGGGTATATATAAGCGGGCGGGACCCACCATAAATAGTTTGGGTTGGGAACCCGACTATTTGGTGACTTGGCTCATTCCCATGCAAATGCTCCGCCAAATGGTCGGGGTTGGAACCCCGACCATTTTGTGTGGGGTATCCCAAGTCACTCCCAACTCGTCGTGGTTGGGAACCCCGACCAAATTAGTCGGGTTTCACAACCCCGACTTTTTTAGAAGTCCTAATCACGCAGATGGCGATAGGTGGTCCTAATTTGTCGGGGTTGCCAACCCCGACTAATTAGGATGTTAATTTTTTTAAAATGACCTCGTTTCTGACGTGGCTAGAAACTGAGTTAGTTTCTATAATAAAAAGTGGAGTGGGACGATTTTTGGAAAAAAGTTTGAATCAGGTCAAATTTGAAAATTTCTTCATAAAGAAGATACACAACAATTAAGTAGAAAAATATTTCCCCGGTCCTCAGTTAGCTCTTACCTAGTTTTTGAATGTTTTTCTGCGTGTGGTGGTTAGTGAGGAGAACGTTTACGTAGTTTCTTCTAACATCAATCCCAAAGAGAAATTCTTCATCATGGCACCTTAAGCAATGAGAGGTGAGATCTCCATATCCAATAAATTTATGCATCACCTGACCACTTCTGTGTCTTAAGATGTGATTGCAAAACTGAGAATTTTTACCTTCTTTAGATCAGATTTAAAAAACTAGTGGCCGTTTAATTCATCATCCTCTTTCTGCAGACTGTATTTTTTTCAGAACATTCAACTGTTAGGTCATTAGACTTAGTGTCATGCACTGAAAAAGACAGTTGATACCCTGCATATGTTTGATTCCCATTACTTCTTTTACACTGGCTAAGGAAAGGTTCAGGAAGAGGATGCCAACAATGTGCTATGTCTTGAGCAAATAATATCGATGACTTCAAGTTTCATTTCTTCTATACCCTATGGCCCATTGATTGATCAATGACTTGCAGCCATTTGGCCCCAGACAAGATAATAGGTTCAGAGATTAAGCCACTAGATAATTCTTGGCACTTGGCACAACCCTTGCCTAATCACATTAAACAACCCAATTTAACTGAAACGGAAAACCGAACTCAAGTTGATGCCAAAATTTCCGAATTGAATAGCCTGTCCATCTCACAAACAATTATGGTTCTCGTACTGTATGTATTTTTTTTCACTCCGTTAGGAGTCTAAGAGATCGACCAATAAAAACAAACAGGAACAAAAAATCATTTGCGCTGGAAGTTAAATATATGAGCAACGGCGAGAATAATTTCACGTCGCAGAGGTTTATATACTACAACAGGAATAAGGAAAAGGTTTCAAGAACCAGTGAATACACAAAAACACGAGAAAAGTTTTCAACTTTTTTTGAAGGACTAAGAGAAGGATAACCACATAGTTATCTAGTTATGAAAAAAAAATTGCCACACAGACAAAACAATGGAAAATTAATACTCAGTGGTTGAAAGGATTTTTTAAGAATATGACAAATTGTTGGCGGGCCTTCCAACATGAAGAACAAATGCACCATACTTTCTAGAAACAAAACTGCTTCTCAGTAGATTAGATTTGTATTAGAGCTGATAGACGGATGTTAAGAATTACGTTCAACCAGTATGAAATTGGTAACTTGTCTATGACACTGTTTTCTTCTCTGTGTTGCTAGTTTTGTTGCCTTTACTACTTCCTTCAGGTTTTTAAAAGCAATTACACCAAACAGAATACGATCGTCTTACTAAATAAATCCCAGTGATTTAAAGTTAAGAAATTCCGGAAAAAAATGCCTACAGAATCTAAACAATTCTTGGATTTCAATGACAATTGAGTATCCGAAACAGTGTTAACACCCTACCCTGATCAAATGGTTGCGCTAGTGGGTAAAGTACCCAGCCGCAGATCTACGCTCTATACGGGACACAGAATACTAGTACGCATCCACAAGTAAAGTTAGAGCTGTATCAATACAACCAAAAGATATTTATCTTATGTGCTTGTTTTGACACTTCTCCTTTGCAATTTCCAACCATTAAGAAGACGCACTATAGGGAAAATCCAAGATCTGGGCCCTGATAAATAACTCATGTAACAGGTCTGACAAATGAATGTATAGCAAATACCACCCAATAGCTTGCTTGAGATCATTATTGCAAAGTATGGAAAATATCAGGAAACACAGAAAAGGGTCAAGAAAGGAGATGCAACTTGTGAACGTCAGTATCATCCTAGTCTAAGACCAACAACCATTGAAAAAAAAAACTAGGCATCGTATCCATTTGGCACTTAATAGGTCCATGCTTATGGCAGAAAACAGAGACTGACACCTGTGAAAGCAGACACATGTATAACAATGAGAGGCAAAAGCTAAACAATGACAAAACCATATTTGTCAACGACACCAAGCAAATAATGTCAAAATAAAACAATTATATGATTGACATACAACTTAAAAGGATAAGTAGATTGTTGTTAAGAAGCATTGGCATCCAAAGTCAAAAACATTTCGGTGGAAGTAAATATTAATATACTAACTACTAGCCAAAGTACCATTTGGAGAAACATGGAATTTTTAGAGAACTAGACAGCAGCAGAACTTGAAAGTCAAGGGATTACCAGTTGGATCCAGCATACGGTAGTTGAATTCCACGCGAGAAGAAATGACCAAACCTCCAGAGGGAAGAGTTCAGTAAGATGACGAAGCAATATCCACTTATCATATTGAAGACCAGTAGGCAGTGGAAACAATGTCATCATGGCAGTCCCCTGAAACAGCGGTTTGCATTTTATCGCAGGCTGAGAAGTCGAACAGGATTTTAACAAGCAATGTTAAACAGTGCCTAACAGTATCTTAAGATGTAACTTGAAATTATTGAGAACCTAAACGGGTTTACTTGTCCATGCAGCAGCATCTGGCAACTCCCGAAACAGTGACAGCAGCCCTGGGAAAAACAATGAATCAACAGGAATCCATGCTTACATCACCTTTCACTTTCAACGCGCCAGCTGTCAAGTGCATTTCAGCATCCACCTGGTGGCATAACATCAAATGCCGCAAGAGCACTCTTATAGTAGTTGTACCGACTGACACGCTCAAATATTAGATATTTTCAACCCAAAACATGGTATTACCTTTTTCTTTTCTGTTACAATCAACATCCATGAAACAATATAACCGAAAATGTACATCACTTTATTTCGTTTACATTTGAAAAAAAGGAAAATACGTTCTGACATACATCAGCCTTTTTCCCGGCTATACACATTCAGCCTACACTAACACACCATGCTACTTGCAAGCTGATCAGAACAAAAATCAGAAATCGTCCCCACACACAGATTGTAACCTGAATCATCTCTGCAGAGAAGAGGCGGCAAATTAGCAGTCCGGAAAAGCTAATAGCTCCATGAGGTAAGATTTAGGAAGATAAAAGGATGTTTCTGACGAGGGAAATACAAAGGAGCATAACAAGTAGCTTTTAACACTTAAGCATAGCCATAATATACTTGATAATGTATCGTTGAACAGAACCTTCAGATACCAACATCCTTGACACCTTACCATGGAGCATCTAGAGTCCATGCTCCACTTTAGGAGGAATATAGTAAAGGCGAGTTACGCTCATTGGAGGAGTGTTGAATGGGCATCAGAGCAGGGTCACGATATACAGTGAGCAGTTTATGAAAAAAATCGTCCATTGCAGGGTCATTCTGCTCCTCTCGATCTTTCTTTATCAAACTCTGCAAGGAAAATTTGACATTTTTTTATGTCATACTAGGTTCTATAACATCCAAGAGAAGTATATGGCTACATCTTGCAATGAGCTCATCTGGAATGGGAACTGGGATCTTATAAATTAGCATACCAAATACTGGATTGACACCTAGCAATATTAAGAGAATATGGACATTTCAATCTCAAGAAAATAACAATGACAACCAAATCTGGAATATCCACATCAGTAAATAGTAAATTTATGTTGCTCCATTTTAACCTAGCATACGTAATATTACATGACAGGAGTGTTCAGCAGTTCATCCTCAAGGAAGGCTGTGCAGGTGCACAATTTTAGGCCCGTGTAAGAGATGCTGACGTGTATCATAAGCGAATATCATTGTCTCGGAACTGGTTAACAAAAAAGTCCCAGATGCTTAAAATAGAATACAGATGCACTTTTTTTGAAGTGATGAAGTAATTGTAATGACAAAAGATTTAAGAAGGAACTCAAGTAAGCAAGTTAATTGATGATATTTTTTAAACAAAATATATGATCCCAAATCTGATTGACTTCTATAAGATGTTTATGTTTAATTATACCAGATAGATAAAAAACAGAAGCCAAAACTTAGATACTTGAAACTCAGAGATGCAACTAATAAATGTGAAGAACTGACAAGTTTATTCATCTCGAAGAAAAGCAATTACTGAAAAAGTAACTAGGGAGAAATAGAAAAGCTCCGGTCATTATAATAATGACTATATATTGAAACTAATGTCTTATAAACTCTATGGCAGAAATCAAATGGACTGCAGAGAGTACACCCATGTGCAACATTAAAAGCAGTTCACCTCTATTCAATGGCATATTCATGCCTAAGTTTGAAGCCCATGGTTTCTATTTCACAGCGGTGCAGACCGTATGGAGAATATTAAGTCTTTAAGGATCTTAACCCCACATAAAACTTCTGAAAAGGCTTCAATCTATACCACATGCTGATAGAGGAGACTACCTATAGAGGATAGGTATCTGATATCTAGAATTCTGATACTGAGAAGGTACAGGGTACATGTCAGATACTCCTTAAATAATGAAAAATAATAATATTTTGGAGAAAATAATAATGTTAAGCCTTTAGTTGAATGAAGGTGTTCACATTTAAATTTGCTTTATAGAGGCATCTGCTAACCTTTTGCATTCTCCATAACGATTTACTTTCCATGGTTAATTGTTCATTTAAGTTAAATTTAAGCTTTAACCATATAGTCTTGCATGTTCATGAGCGTGTAGTGAATTTGGCTGTTAAGAACTTTATGGCGAGAAAATTTGCGAGAACTCCATGATCGGCTATCTTATGGATAATTCACAGTATTAACATTAGTCCATTGAGAGGGAGGTATGCACAATCAAAATCTAGAGTTCACTCTCATCCATTGAGAGGGAGGTACGCACAATCAAATTCTAGAATTCTCATCCTCTCTGTTCAAGAGACTTAAACACCAGAGCGGAGACACTAGTCTATCACCCGCGAGATCTTGTTGTCTACATTTGTGCAGGTCTGCTAGCATCTGAGTTATTGAAGACATCAAGAGATTCATGAAGAGTAACACATGTAGAATGAAATATGATCCATAAATGGAGCTTCATGATTAAAAATTGTAGAATAATTGTAATCTAAATTATTGAAGAAATCGTGAAATTCATGAAGAGTAGCAGCAAATTTTTACACATACGTGTACAGTGATGATTCATAGATGTGAGAACTTACCTCTGCAGAATAAGCACGGAAAATGGGTAGAAAGCGTTTCCGACAATACTCATTGAAGAGAAGTGTAAGAACAGGAAGTGGCAAGATTAAGCCTGATGCAAGAGGAAGCTTCTTCAGGCCAAATATCCCAATTGCAATTGCTTGCATGAGTAGAAGAGAAAATATTGTGGAGTTATGCACAATAGGCCAAAATCTTCCACCAGTTTCGTATTTGGGCAAATACACATTTAATAGCTGAAATGGACATTCATAAACATAAATCATATTCCAGAAAATGAACAGAATCACATTGATCCAGATTAGTTAGCCCCTTGAGAAGTAAAATCATGGAGGTAATTAGCTGAAAATGTTTTTGATTCAAGCTCCAATCCTAATATTCTATTGCTATAGCTTTTTGTAGTACGTATGTACTGCCTATCTAATACAATTCTTTTTGAATTTGACTATGAAAAAAAAAGGTTCTGTCATTTGAAGAATTATCCTTTAAAATTGCATCTCGATAAAAAGTCCTAACAGGAATTTAAGAATAGTAATTAGTAACCAATTTTGATTTAAATGTGACTTCAGAAGAAATTTAAACTTTCATTAGATATTACAGAATGGTAAATAAGACCACAACATATAATTAAGAGAAACTGACATAAAAGCGATTTGCATAGGTTAACCTTTGTTTAACTTATTATAGTAATTCTAAATACTGCTCTCCACCCTTTACATAAACCTCTCTTGACATTAAAATAACGGCTAGATATTATGCATAAAAATCTACCTTCTTGATCTGGTAACATGAGGCAAATAATTATAAAACAGGAAAACTAACACCAAGTTCTGTGAATCCAAAAAATTGAAAATTTAAGAAACAAGTTCTCCACAAGAAATGAGAATGTTGTGATCAATGGCACTCAATATGATAAAAGATAAAATAAACTTGACTTGTAGGATAGTAGCTGTAATTAAGAATAAGCAGAGGGGTAACGCCCTGGGATGGTTTGAGACAAATTTAACAGAGACCAACAAGTGTAGTAATCAGTATAGACAGTGGCTGATCAATAAAAACAAAATGTTATAAAACTATAATACCTAATCAGAATGCACTTAGTACATTTTATCAGGTTCGCATCATATTTTAGAACTATTTCCAACTAGTTGCTTACTTTCATCGCACTCAGTACACTTCATCACCGGCCCAGCGCGAATTTTATTAACTATGGGCGACAAATTGCAGTTTTAGAAGGCTTTAAAATGTAATTTTGAAAATGATAGGGGTGCAACTGCCCACCTAAGACCCCATATGGATCTGCCCCTGGGTACCGAAAGAACATTAGTTGAATGAAAGGCTAGAACTATACGTAAACACAGTTATGGACTAGGTAGTTGTGGGGGATCTATGATATCCAGGTAGGGGTCATGGACTGCCGTACCCGTACCCGTACCCGACCCTTTTCGAGTACAGGTACGCCTCGGATTCTCGGTGGACACAGCTGTTTCAGTTTCAGCCCAGATCCACTTTGCAAAAGGTTTAAAAGATGGGTTTGTTTGGTTATCAGGTAAAAAACAAATCGTTGTATTTTTTTCTTTTTTGGAACCCAATAACCCAAAACCCACAATTTATACTCTGAAAATATCCTATCCATCTCCCCATCTCTCTCAAAACACCTAATCGCTTCAGATTTCCTCTTTCAGAAGCCTCCGCACCTGAAGTCACTGATTCAAAACCTCGCTCCGATCATGATCCGACCTCCTCCATTTCAGTTTACCGGAGACCTGTACTGTAGTAAGAGGATTTGAGAAGATTCTAAATAGAAAAATAGTCAGTTTTTAAGTTTTAAAGATCTAGGGGTTTTAAGGATTTCTAAACTCTTGATATCTACTGTTATTTTTACATTAATATGCAAGTTAATTTGTTTTGTTTAGTATCTTTCTTTGCAGTTTTATATCCAGCTGAGAATTCAAATTGGGATTTCTAATTTAAGTGCTTTTCTTGAATATATTTCATTGCGAGCTTGTGGGCTTATTGTCTTGACGTACTGAATCAAAGAGGCGCATGGTTCGTAAGGACTTGATGACTGAAGAAAAAGACAACACTAATTTAAGAATTATCTTTTTGTTCTTCAAATTGTTAAATTTCTGAAGTATTGATTATTGTTGATAATATTGTGTTAGTAGTGGGTTTAGTCCCACATTAGTTAGGACAAATCTCATCCTCTACTTGTATATATATATATATGTACACACTCAATATTCAATTCAAGGAAAATTTACCCAATACTCTCTCTCTTACTTTAACATGGTATCAGAGCTTGGTTTAGGGTTTCCCAAATAATAATTTTTTTTTCAAATAAATAAAATTTTATCTTCTAAGTCGCCTATTTCAATTGCCGCAGGCAAGCATCTCGGCTGCCTGCCTCTGTCGAAAGGTTGTTGCTTGCCATTGTCCCAGATCTCGCTGGAGATCTTGCTCATCTCGCAATCCTCTGCCAACCGAGAATTCTGATTGGTCGTTCGGTGGTCTTAGTCGCGCCAAATTGTCGGCCGCGATTTTTTCAAACAGCGATCTCGCTAATGAGAGCCAATTTAATACAAGATTCCGAGATCTGCTCAATCCCGCAATCTCCGCCACCGGAGATCTGATTGGTCGTCGTGGTCTCTATCGCCAAATTGTCGCCGCGATTTTTTCAACACGATCTCCGCTAATTGAGAGCAATTTAATGAAAAATTTATATATATATATATATATATATAT